ACACACACACACACACACACACACACACACACACACACACACGCACACAAACAGGTCAGAGGCAGGCATAAAAGACGAAGGCAGCAGCCCCAAGACCACAGCCACACCAGAAGGTAAGAGAAGAGACCACAAGGGAAAGAGGTAAACTTCTGTGAAAAAAAAACATTGAGACAAGGGGTAGCTAGGAACCTCCGAGGTCCCATACCCCACCCCCTTCCACCCGACGCAAGGTCGGGGAAAAGCATGCTTGGAACGAGGGCCCAGAGGATGCTTGCAGCAGCAGGTGCCAGGCCTCCCCAAAAACCGCCCCCCTCTACCAGAATGGAATGGGATTTGAAACCGAAACCGGCAAAACAAAAAAAAACAAAAAAAACAAAAGAAGTACGGGAACACGAACCGGGTTGGTAGAGTGGGAGGAATACCGGACAAAGGTGTAATCCGATATGTATCCGAATCAAGTAAAAGAGTAAAAACAGGGTGAGGTATCCCATGGACCCGCCCCAGCAATGACCCTCGGAAACTGATGAGAGCGGTCCTATTCAGAGAGGACCCCAGAAATTTTGGAGAAATCTCTCCCTGCCCTCGCCCCTGATCCACCTCTCCCCACATCCCACCTATACCTGACTCTACGATTTTCCGATATATGCATACTCGTGCAAGTCTTTCGCGTGCATGAGTGTAAGCCTGCCTGAACTTGACTACTGAGCGACCTGCCGATGAAGTGGACCGGCGGCACTTGATTGCGATGGCGGACTACGATTTTTCAACCAGAGCAGACAAGGATTTACTGCTTACGCCCGAAGCTGAAGAGCAGAGAGAGGCGGAAGCAGCGGTATATTATCTTTGTGCCCCTCTGTGTGTCTGGACTATGGCTGCCTGTATGTATCCAGGATTGGGTGTGTGTGCATTTCATTGCAGGTGATCCAACCTCTCTGACTGAGTCTGACGAGCCGGATACGTGGCAACGACCAAAAAGCTTTTAGGTTATCCACACCCCTCCTGCCAGCAGTGGAAACATCCAAGGAGGACACAAGCCGCGTCCTTGTTCGTCTCAGCAGCTGCCATGCCCGGGCCAGCTTGGGAAGCTGAATCCACAAGTAGCTCAGACGAAGAAGAGATGTTGATGAAGGGAGATGTCGAGGGAGGATGGTAAGGAGGGAAGGAGACGAGCATGAGAAACGAAGGGAGGAAAAGTATGCAGGGAAGATTTTTTACTAATGAAGACGAGAGAGGGGGCCATAGAAGCGGCGGATATACGGTCAAGGGTTGAAGGGAGGGATACCTGTCTGAGAAACCAGTGGGGATTGGTGATTTGAAGGAGTACAGACGAAGGAAAGGAGGGAATGGAAGAGGTGCATTGATGTCTGAATTTTTAGCCGGAGAACTATGCGTGCCCGCAAATGTTTTTTTTGAACTTATATGACATGAGATCTTCCGTCAGAATTCCGATCGACCTTCTGCGTATCGAGTTTCTTCTTGTATGAAGCTTACTGGTGTATGAGAATGCTTCCTTTGTCGAATAAATGAGCCCTTGCTATATGAGTGCAACTCACTATTTGACGAATGGATGGCTCATCACCACCTGCGTAGATAAAGGAAACTGTCTCTTGATGCATGAATGTGATTTTGGAATGAGTGAAAGATTGGTTGCTTTTGAGTTGGTCCGTCTATTTTCAGTCTGGCTACCGTACTGTAATAGCATCCGTCTTCTTTCTGTCCACACTTTTGGATTGGAAAGGCTGTTATTGTTAGGAAGCAAGGCTGGGCTACAATAGACAGTTCAGCTCGATGGATCTTCGCATCACCCAATAGAAGCACAGTTGCGCCGCACACACACACACACACACACACACACACACACACACACACACACACACACACACACACACACACACAATTATTCCATCGATAGAATGAGCAAAAACGGAATGAATCTTCCACTGAAACGTGGAAATATACACTGCCACTTTTTTATTTGCTCATACTATCGATCCAAGTAGCGTGCACCAAAGCGCGAGTTGGAGACTTAACTGTCGGCCAAGGTACTCTCTCTCTCTCTCTCTCTCTCTCTCTCTCTCTCTCTCTCTCTCTCTCTCTCTCTCTCTCTCTCTCTCTCTCTCTCTCTCTCTCTCTNCACACACACAATTATTCCCAATGCTCCCCCCCCCCCCTTGCAGCTTTGTTGCACAAGCGCTATAGTGCAGAGGATGACAGACTGCGCATGTGCACGCTGTGCATGAGTACAGCTTGTGATAGGCAGCCTCACACCCTGTATTGTGTTCAGCACCCCTTCAGGGGCGCACGGATCAGAGTGGGGGCGTGGCCGAGGGTCTTGGGCTGGCAGAAATCTCGGGGCAAAACCCGAAATTTCCCATGTCAGTCCAAGGGGTTCTCCCAGAGTTGAGGGAGAGAAAATTGAAAAGAAACAAAGAGGAGGGCAAATGGCAAAAATAATATGAAGGGTCACAATCAATCTGCAAGGTGATCGCTTGAGGGTCATACCAAATGGCCTTTGGAGGGTCCGGATCGAAAAATGGACAACAGCTGGGAGATTCAAAAAGGGGCAGGGTCCTCCCTGGTAGTTACGTACTCGATTAGTCCAACGACTCTTGATCGGACAGCAAAGGGATCCTCCCCGGTTGTTATGTTCACTCGGTCAGTCCGATGACTCTTGATTGCACGCCAAAGGGGGACCGGGGACTGGCATGCAGGTTTCCGGCAGCGCGCGCCCCACTCGACTGTCTTTCAGAAAGCGCGCCGTGACTTGATACCCAAGGACCAGCTGTTGCACACAAGTTGTCAATCTTACAGTAGTGACAGTTATCGAGGGAGTTCCACGCAGCATGTGGTGTGTGCAGCAGACCCAGGTAGCACCGTAACATCAGAGCAGGGGAGGAAGATCTGCAGGGAATCAAAACAGTTGATCTGGACAAACCCATTGCCCCCAAAGTGACAGGCTCTGGGCGGGTTGTATAGGTGAACTCAATCTGTTTGCAATAGGGCACTCCTTACATGCACATCGTAGTAGATTGCAGCTTCGTCTGCTGCAGGGAACTTGGGGAGGCTGATATATGGCGCACGGACATGAAGTTCAAGCACAGGCATGCACCCATGTGAAGACTCGATGAGGAAAAAGACGACTCCATACACGTCCGTTGATATCTGTGTTAGGCAGGACCCGGGATCAAAACAGAGTCGTACTTCGACAAAAAGAGGATAGAGAAGCCGGGGGGAGGGCGGGGTGGAAGAGACGATCAATTACTTGCAAATTGTTCCGATTGCCGACACTGGCACACTTGCATATATCAATTCAAAGAAACCATTCAGTTATGCACTCACCATGGACATGCAAACTCATCACTAGACATTCCAAGTTTCCAACACTCACAACACGGCCATGCATCAATCAGGATTCAGGACTTCACATGCATCAGCAATGGCGAAAAGACAAGTTCTCAAGAGTTAACTCAGAAAAGAGATCTCCACTCACCCAGCACACAAAACAACATCATCATCACCATCACTTCCCACCAATATGCGCGGAGTCAGCCTCACTGCCAATCTGTGGCCCCACTCGAACACTTACATGCTCCATCCTCCACCACCACTCCATCCCTCCGACGCCAACCTACCGATCCAATTGATCCTACCACAAGGAGCTCCCCTCAGGCTGTCACTCCGCTCAGTCCGCTGGGCACGACGAGCCTGTTCAGCGCCGCGGCTCATGCCCATAGCTTGCACAGCATTGCGGCCGAGATCAAAGAGGAGGAAGGGAACAGGCTTCACAAATTTATAGTGTGGAAGGCGGTGGGGTGTCAGCATAGATAGATGGAAAACAGATAGACACGGCTGACGACGAGGTAAAGGGAGAGAGACAGAGAAATCCAGAAGAGAGAGATGGCGAGGATATCAAAATTTTCACAGGTTTTGGTTGACTGGCCAAATCTACGCTCAGTGGGACCGTCCCCATCCATAGCTTGATCCAGCCAAACCGAACTCAACCAAACACCTTCGAGGAGATCGAGAGGGAGATGAAGTTGCAAGAAGGAGAAGGAAGAAGTTAACACAAACCAAGTGTGTGGGAAACTGGTTTGTGTGGGTGCGAGTTCAAACTGCCAACACCACACGCGTAACCGACTGTATTTATGAAAACATTAAGAAAAGATAGAATTCCTAGAATTACAAGGACAATTTTTAAATCACATCCATGGATGCAAATACAGAGATGGACCCTGCATCTGTTCAGATGATCTACGAAAAGAAATTCCTTGGCAGAAAATTTGACCTCGTTACGGGGTTTGTGCCAAGGGTACGTTCTGCAGTTCGGAATGCGCCATGGATCATCACAAGCTGTCCTGTGGACTGCACAAGTGCGCTGCAAGGATGGTATAAACGGACACTCCATTTATCGAACAAAGAAGCAAACAAATGTACCCCTCAACCCACCCAACCACCCCAAAACCATCCCACATCCATTCATCACCAGAAGCATTACTGTGTAAATCACCTTCGGCTGACCCACACCTTGTGCTGGGAAAGCTGCAGCCCACAGGAATTTCACCCATAACATGCACTTTTCATGCCCATCGATGGGTCTGACAT